AACAGCAAAGTCCCTAGGGCTCAGCCCCAGCCGCGGTTAAACTCACCTCGTAGAGCACGGTCCCTATATTCAACTCCGACCGAGAATATAAACCACGTTCCTTACAAAGGATTCACGTGTCAGAATCCAGAGGGACTTCAGACCACCGCTGTCTCCCCGCCCTTCCCAGCTCAGGCCTGGAGAAGCGTCCCTCCTGCCAGCACCCCAGCCAGCACTGCAGCATCTTTGCCACCAGGCGCACGGACGGAGGGCAAAACCCAGTCTCCAACGCCCACGCCGTAGGGGAAAATGGGGGTCTGGCAGCAGAGAAGCCAATGAGGTAACTTCACACGAGAAAACACCACAGGGCATCGTTTCCGGGGTGACTGTGCTCGCCCAAGAACTGTTTTCCTCTTTTCTCCCCCTCCCCTGGCTTCCTTTATCCCTTTCCATACTGCTGGAAAAACCTGCTCTTCTTAGGAGACTGATCTCACCGGAAGAAGGGTTCAGAAGCCCGTAACGGAGAAGTTTTACGTCCCAAAAACGATTCCCGAGTTCTTCCTTTTGATAAATAGCAGCGAAGAACAAAGTAGTCGGCAACGTGCAATTACCACCAGGGTGAAAAAAAGCGAAAAGCCTGCTGGTGTAAACAAGGAGCTCTTAACCTGTGTAACAGAAAAGACAGCAACTTGAGATTAACACAAGTGGCCTTCTGCTGCCGCGTCCGACCGCCCTGGTCCTCGCCTGGCAAAGCAGCTGAACAACAGCAGCTTCCCGTCGAGGAAGAATAAATAAATATAAAGGAAAGACAAAACCCACTCGTTTCCTTTGGCATCGCTGCGAACGATCTACGCTAACTCAAGAAAACCGATCGCGGGCTACGCCGCGGGAAGCGGACGACGCGAACGCATTTCGTATTGCACCGACCGGGGCTCAGAGTACTTCCCGTCCGCACCCCGAAGTGTTTTACAGCTTGGACACATCAGAGCGAAACAGGGAACATCATCCCTGGACCAGCCGGGTCTCTACTCGCTGGGTCTGTTCCCTACTGCTACGCTCCAGATGTTTAGCAGATACAATAGTGTTCCTGATTTCCTCCAACGTAAACGGACTATGAAGCGTGAGACGATTTCAACTGGTACTTCATACCTCCAGAAAAACCCCAAACAGGCACCTCTTTCCCCGCCCCATTCATCCACACATTAGGAGAAAGAAAGGGTCATGGAAAAGATGACTGATCCAGGACTCCGTTAGGCACGATCCCCGTGTCCCTAGCCTCGGGATTTCTCCGAGCTTCCTTGTCGGAGACACGCTCGCAAGTCAGCGCCGTACTCACAAAAGACGTTACGTCCCTCTTCAAACAGATGCACTAGCGTCTGAAGTTGCAAAACTAATAATTTTCAAGCTTTCGCACTCAGGATGAAAGGTCATTTTAATACGAATAAGACGACTGACCGTATGTACAAGCCAAGGTAAAGTTTCAGTTCTGGTCCAGCAGAAACATCAATCCAAAGGAAAACCAAGTCGAGAACGTGCTGCTACTCCTAGGTGCGTTTGAAGTACGTACAGCAAAAACACCAGCAGCCTCCGCGTGTCAACGAGGGAAACGCAAGCCAGGACGGGCTTCCAAGTACCTGGTAAGCAATCCTGAAATTGAAGCCTGAAACGAAGCTAGAAAACTGCTGGGGAAAAAAAAAACCACAACCAACCAAAAAACCAAGTCGAGAACGTGCTGCTACTCCTAGGTGCGTTTGAAGTACGTACAGCAAAAACACCAGCAGCCTCCGCGTGTCAACGAGGGAAACGCAAGCCAGGACGGGCTTCCAAGTACCTGGTAAGCAATCCTGAAATTGAAGCCTGAAACGAAGCTAGAAAACTGCTGGGGAAAAAAAAAAACAACACAACCAACCAAAAAACCCCCAGGTGATTGCATCATATCAAGTACTCAAAGAAAAACTTGGTTTTAATTCTCAGTACTTTAGAGAATCAGCTCTTTCTTCCTTCGAACCCAGGGAAATCATATTACCCAGAATGCACTGAAGAACATTTTACATCCGTTTAAGACCACAAAAAAAAAAAAAGGGGGGAAAGAAAACCAGCTCCATCTCTTTGTGCTGTATCGAGGCGTACTCCTGACGAGACTGTGTAGAAAACACGATGGATGAAACTCATCACCGGTCATTCAAAGTATATTTCGTAAAGGGGAGGAGCCCAGACTACTGCAAACGGCACACACAACACCCACAGACGATGGAACGTAACCGAGCGAGGATTTTCGGCGGGATGACGTTCGGGAGAAGAGAAGCACGTTTCCCAGTCAATAAGCTAGAGAGAAACAGGCTCTGAATAGGTCACCGTTTGGAACTTTGGGTAACTCTTGAAAGTCTTTCAGGGGAAAAAAAAAAAAAAGTTACAGGAACACTCGAGTATTTCAGTGGTGCTCTCTTCAGCGACCCTACCTAATATGTCTATTAAGTACAAGCATGCAAATATAGGTCAATCCACAGGCACATAGGATCCATGTTAAAAACAGTAAGATAGCTGTGATGAGTGGCACCAACAGTTCTGATGGCTAACACTCAAAAAAACGTTGCTTTCTGAATTACTAAACCAAAATCCTGAAGCAAGTTCCTGCTAGTCTTCGTCACACTGCTAAACACTAAGGTAGGCATGTTTTCCCCCATTATTTTAGCTGAGCTCAAAGAATTTTTACAATATTTAGTAAGAAAAAAAAAATTAAAGTATTTCCCCTTTTTTAAATTTACACAGACGTTTAATTAGCTTTATTTACAGAGCGCTTTTTTTTCAGTCTCCAATAGTGCCTAGATAGCATCATCAGGCAAGAGTGCCAGTTTTAGAAGAGAATCTATATAGAATCCTAAAAATAACAGATGGTGATGCTCCTCCAGAAGGGGCAAGCTGGACTACGGAAGCGGCTCTCTCGACATGGCTCAGTTACTCAGGAGTAATTCTGTTGCAGTCTCTACATCCCATGATTTTGAAGACAAGGCCACTATTACTGCATTCTGCAACGAGAAAACACACAAGCGATGACATTTTCAGTGCGCGATCCTGCGGCTCCGAGAAGCGGAATGAAAAGTTCACAGCTTAATCAGAACACGTGAGTTTACCACTTATTAAATCCTAACTAACAACCTATAAAAAACCTGTTTCAAAAAGAGGCAGGGGTGGCTCACGAGAGTTACTAATAATGTAGTATTTCAAAAGTCTGATTCTTAACAATAATTAGCAAAACAGAATGGTTAAACCTACAAAAGGTAGCGAGTCTACTTTAGCGTACTGACGCCTCCCTGTATTTACACACATACACTCACCCTGCCCCTACTGAGAAATAGGAAGGTTTATATATACTTACCCTATCAAAGCCCATAGCACAAAGGTTTTCTATTTTTTTGGTGTATTCTGGACTAGAAACTGGTGCTCCAGCATACACATGTGCCCAGAGTCGAGCTGTCTGTTTGAACATTTCTGGATTTTGTTTGTACTACACAAAAGAGAGGAACGGGGGGGGGGAGAAGGGAAAAGTTAAATCAACTCAGCAATCCAACCAAAAAAGCAAGATGATACAGCAGATTCCAACCCATCATTCTTTCTACAGAATCTCCAACAGTGCTTCACACTGATCCTACTGCTATTTTTGAGATCAAACTTGGAGGCGAGGATTACACACAGCCTAAAGCCTACACAAGCTCTGATTTAACGCGCTCGTCTTTTGGTTAAATTACATGTTCCGTGTAGTTTATCCGTACAATCAGGTAACTGCTCTCAACTGCACCGACCCAAAGTAAAGCCGCTGCGTATTTAGCAGAGCTACTGAAAGTTTACATTGGGTGTCAGAGAGCACAGATTATCCCTATGTTAACGTCTCCTGAACATACACGCTGCAGACTAACTATTTCTCGAATCACTGAAATACGCCTGGTTTTACACGCTCCAAGCGGGTCTGCACTTTTTCAGTCAGGGCTGACATTCTACTATCAGGCTTCCTCCTGAGGATAAGGATATTGATAGTTCTCCTGACAAATAAGGGCTGGGGGAAAAAAAAAAAAAAAGAAAAAAAGGTAGGCATGAGCAAAAAGCTGGGAAGCGGCAACGTTTTCGATGCAAGCTATTATTTACCAGGAAAAAAATAATCATACAGCGTATGTAAATATTATTTTGCACCTATCTCATCATTAACAAGTTTTCTAATACACAACAGAATGGACCTTATCAGGGAGTTTTCAGCCTGCGCCAGGAACTCAAAAGCCAAGAAAGTGGGTCATCTGTCATAAACTGTACCCAGAAAAGCAAGATGAGTTTCTTATTTTAGCAACTTTATGTAATATCAAGTTTTTTGTACTTCAAACAAAAGACTTTCCCTTAATCATTACACTAAGACAGTACATATGCCCATCTTTAGATACAACATAAATTTTAGCACTAAGAAATAAGATATTGGGAAATATATTGTTGAAACATTTAGATGCATTTTAAGGAGAGAAACATGGCTGATTATCATTCCAAGCATTTTCTTCACACATGAAAACAGTAATTAAATCCATAAAGCACTGTCAAACGGAATACAACACTTTTTACAGCTCCAGATTTCATTTTACCACTCCGACACACTGACTACGCTGCGCCGTGTGCTTTGTACACCTCCTACTAATTCTGCTCCACACGAATAATTTGTGTATTTACTACCTGATTATTAACGGGATTAGAATAAACATGGGAGACAGTCGATTGTGGGAAATAATTCACTGTGTTATAAATACAGTGGTCTGTAATAACTTTCTTTGGTAGTAATTACTAGAAAAGAGGAAGGATTAAGTAGACTGAACTAATATATTATTCTGCTCTTAAGAGATTTTTTTTTTTAAATACATTTTTGAGAACACTGCCAAGCCTAGAAAGCAACTAGCTGGAGTGCAAAGGATTAGTCATAACTCCATTTTATTCACAACTAGCTTCCAGTGTTCTATAAATAAAATTCCTTTACTTAGGTATCCGTAAATAACCTGGCTTCTCACTGAATTGAGAAAAGCCTAAAGGCACCTTTTACTGATGTCTCTAGATAAGGAATCCGAGGCAGTTAATGTTGCTGTAACTTAAAAAACACCAGCAACTAGTTGAAGTAGCTTTGACAGCAGACAGCTGGTGCCTGAAAATACTGCCATTATTCAAGCAGGAGTTCTCCCTGGGATTCAGCTCAGGAGCTTGTAGGATGCTGCTATTTACCCCAACAGCTTAGTGGTCTAACGCATAGTTTAGTAAGTTAACCTAATGAAAAATGAGTGTGGAGGATATCTAATTCTTTGAGAATTTATGGGGGAAAAAAAAAAACCCAAACCCAAAACCACACACCCAAATCATACAAGCTAAAAAAAGACCCCATCACCAAATAAAACACATGAGCAAACTGGGTGTTTACAACCACAACTCTCAAAGACCTTATAATCACTTTCTACTTACATACACATGCTTGTAACTCTAGGCCAAACCCCAGCATAGCTTTCGTGCAGGTACGTGCAGGGAGCAGGAGAAACTGAATCCTGCCCGCAGCAGCCATGCCACAGTCCCAACTGGACACATCCCTGGAAAACTGTTCCGCAGAATCTACGAAGTTTCATGGATTTTTTTTTTGTTTTGTTTTCTTTTTGGGTTTTTTTTTTTTTTTTCTTTCCAGCTCAAGTGCTTCTGTGAGACTGTTATGATCCAACACAAAATTCTGCCATGGAGGTCGGAGTGGGAAACACTGTTCTTGTTTTTACAAAAAGGAAAAAGGGGGTTTGTTCAATCAAGAGAGCGTGACAGCAAGGGCATGCACGCGGGAAGAAAAACAGGGCTCAGGGACATGCCTCGTGCCTTGCTGGCCTCCGAAACAATCCTCCCTGCGTAGAGCAACTCAGTCTGACGGGGACGTTGTTCTGAGCAGCCTCACCAGCGCTGCAGATTCCCCACGAGCCAGCCTTCTGCACTTTCGGAGCAAACAGCTCTCCCGCACCTGCGGGTGCAACGGGCTACCTCAGATCTCCGTGCTTCCCTCCGAATCCTGACAGCTTGGGTAAACGGCTGACCTATTGTCCTGCACAGGTTTTTAGGGCAGGCTTTGTCACCCTGTGCCAGGGAGTTCCGACACACAGGAGATGCGGATGAGAGTGATGCTGGAAGAACCTTCTGCTTGCTCTGTTCCTTTGTTACGGAAACACACCCTTACTACCAGTCCTCCAGCCTGCTCTCTCTTTCCCCAGGGTAAACAGGAAAACACCACACACATACTTAAGACTTTGTTGAAAATTGTCAGACTGAAGTTATGGAATGACTGTTCCTATCTTTCATCAACACTTGAAATAGAACCACGTCAGTCCTGGTATGGCCTAAGAGCCAATTGACGTTTTACTGTTACTACTTTTCATAAGTTATTGCTACTGTCTGAAAAGTATCAATCCCTGTTGGTTATACAATTCTACTGACACCCATTTAACCAGCGACTAAAACAGTTATCCCAAGTACCTGCACAGGTAAAGTACAGAGGATGCTTCATTCAGAGTTCTCCTCAGGATTAAATGCCACAGTAAGTCACTGTTCATAAAATATTTACATTAAACAAATACAATAATCAACAATATTCATATTAATCTTGAAGAGGAGCTACATACCAAGCCAAATGAAATGAAAACCACCCAGTTAACACTCGTTTTAAACCAACACAACCTTGCTTTGCTAATACTGGAAGCTTTAGATTTTAAAAGGCAAGTTATACTGGAATTCATTTTACTATGCTGCTACCTCCTGATATTTCTGACAAGCTATAAAAGGAACAAAACTAACAAAATAAACCTTCTGACACTGTAAAATAACTGCTACTTACTCTGGAATCTCAAGGGCGCAAAACACACTGGTAACTCACGCTCACTGCAAGGCAATTTTCCAATAATTTTTTACCAATCTTTATCTCCCCCAAAGTTTGGGCCCTAAGCTGAGTTAGCAAAGGTTACAGAAGTGTTACAAATTCACAGTCAACTGAGCGTCTTACCTGGTTTGCCACTACTGCGTCTTGTGGATCATCTGGTTCTGCAGCTGCCAACAACGCTTGCAGCGATAACAACACTGTTCTTAGAGTCATTGCTGCTGCCCTAAAATTAAACATTTGAAAATGACTTCACCAATCCCATGCCTGTACGCACCTTTGCTACCCTACTAATATCACAGAAGATGTGAGAGTACACATACAGACTGTAAGTCTTAAGAATCACAACTGTGAAGTGCTGCAGCTTATAGGTTTTAGGATACCGTTCAGTATATATATTTAAATAGGGTTTTAAGCATGGACTTTCTTATTAACAATGCTTTCTTAAGATTTTGGAAAATACAGTCTTTGGCCTACACATCTGACCATGCTCACTTAACAGAATTCATTTCACCTGGAGAAAAAGGCGGATATTTGAAGTGCGTGTCCTCCTTCCTTACTACCAGTAACGGCACCTTGCGCAAGGTCTAGGTACGGAACTGGGAGCCCACGTGTGCTCCCTCTGCTGGCACTCTTCATAGAGAAATCGCATACACAGAAGGAGTGACCTATATTTTAAATACCTGTAACAGATTAGGACTTCTACAGGTTGGATATCTTCTGCATTGCATCAGTTTTAATTTTTATCGTAAACCGTTAATATGACATTTTTCATAGTGAATTACTACCATAATAAAAAGGTTTGGCTATTACAGAAGGCACAAGTGAAAAATACTATCTCCGCTTCTCTCGTCCCAACCTGGCATGGCTGTCGGAAGCAGGAAAACACTCCGTAGTCATGATGGTGCTGTAAAGTCACCCTTTGGCCCCTGAGAAAGAGCCTTGCTGAAGGCAGCCTCCTTCTAGAATCAGAACTTCTAAGTTCTCGTCATTTATTCCGATCTCAAAGCATATTTAGAATAAGATATTTAAATAATTTAGTAAAGGAGAAGACAGTATGTTCAAAAAGGTCAATAAACACTCAGAAAAAAGTCTGAAATTGTTACACACTGTAAATCTGGAAAGTTGTAACGTTTTAAACATGCAGTTTAGTTAGATTTTGATCATGAATACCACCTCTGATCTACCATTTCAGCCAGCACACACAGGAAAACAAATAAATACCCCACAGAAACTGTGAAAGTTCAGTACTTCAGCTGATTTGAAGAATGTAGCAGACCCTGACTTATGGGGAAGGCAGATGTTCGAGTCAATACACAGACCTGCTTACTCGGCTTAAGTACGGGTAGGAAGTTAAGCGGGGAAAATGAGTCAATACACAGACCTGCTTACTCAGCTTAAGGACTGCTAGGAAGTGAAGTGGGGAAAACGTGGCATCTTAAATTTGAGCAAAATGGCTATGGCACCTGAAATGCTAGAGGAGAGCTGTGAAACAGAGGCATCCCATTTCTCACAAACTCCTCAATTTTCTATCAACAGAAAATAATTTCTTCTTTTCAGAAGACTGCAAGTAAATACAGAGTCTCTGTCAGAGGGGGTGAGCAAGAGTCTGACCTGCTGGTCCAGATACAAAGGAAACAAGTCTGCAAGTCCCTTTCCAGTCCCAGATTTCAGAAATGTATGTATTTCCCAGCACCGAGAGAGTCTAACAGAGCAGACCGAGGAACAGAACAGATGCTGGTAAAACACCAGAGGTACATTTGTGACACCTGAATGTTATCACAGAATCACAGAATGGTTTGGGTTGGAAGGGACATCAAAGACCATCTAGTTCCAACCTCCCTGCCATGGGCAGGGACACCTTCCACTAGACCAGGTTGCTCCAAGCCTCATCCAGCCTGGCCTTGGACACTTCCAGGGATGGGGCATCCACAGCTTCTCTGGGCAACCTGTTCCAGTGCCTCACCACCTTCTCCGGGAAGAACTTCTTCCTGATATCCAATCTAAACCTCCCCACTTTCAATTTAAACCCATTACCCCTGGTCCTGTCACTACAGGCCCTTGTAAAAAGTCCCCCCCAGCTTCCTTGTAGGCCCCAGACGCTTATATCCCTAGATGCTTACACTTACAGCTTTCCTGCTATGTCACTAACCATTCAAATATGACATCCTTCCCTGTATGTTTCTAATTCTAGATTTTTTCCTAGAAACTTACTTTTTTTTAGCTTGATCATCATCACTAAGCTTTCACAGTGCAGTGTTCTACATCAAAATGCAAGTGAGAAACACCCCAAGTGACAGAGATTTTAATTAGCACATACTGTCTCATTCCAACTGCCGTATCAGCTTGAAGTCCCTCAACCTGAACTCTGCAGACGAATCTTCAAAAAACGCTCATGTTTTCAGATCTGAATTCTGGCAAATCACAGAACCTTCACAACCTATAATTTTCCTTTCCCAAACCTATTCCTTGGTAACTAGACTCTTTTTCTCCACCAGAATTTCAGTTTCTCTTCCAGTTAAATTTAAAGTATTTCACGTTCCAAGCTGAATGCTTCTTCCCAGCCAAAGAGTGTTTCTTTAAATTACAAACCAAGCTGGGGATTAACCAGTAAGATTACGTTTAATCAGATAAAGATCACCTACCCACTGAAACACATCCTCAGTTGTGTGATGAGATCCTAGCTAACACAGTAAACCCCAGAATACAAAGCAGCTTTTTTCCCCACACCTCAATCACTCACACAAAACGCTTAGTGAAAGGGCACAGGAATGTTTTTGCTTTGCCTGTGTCTACGCTATTTTACTCTTGTAATTCCTGCTCCTGGTTGATACTGCCTGAAACTGATCTACGTAAGGTGTGTGGTGCTGACGTCACGCAGCGGTACCTGCTGGCATTAGATGAGCGTCACACGACACATTTACCGTTGCGACATTCAGGCGTCACCGAAAGTTAAGTCTTTCGGGCCTTACCATAATGGATTGAACCATTTTGGGGTTTATGTTGTAAATTTCGGGAACTACCACATCCACCACACAGACTATAAAACCTCAAGTCTTTTTCCCCAGTTAAATAACTCCATTACACTATTTAATGTAGTTTTAAAGATAGCGACTTCATGTTAACTCTTAACTGATGCTGTAGTTACTCTCCCCAGATAACTTTCCGTTACAGAAATCCTTCTCCTTCAGAGGTATCTGAAACCACTGCCATTACTCCCAGTAGAGAAGATGACAGGAAGAGGGGTCGCGGCCACCTGTGCCACTTTTTCATGCAATTTACTTCCATTTTACGCTGTACCTTCTAGGACTAGAAAATACACCCTCGGGAGCAGGGGGCATTGCTAAGGACCAAAGGTGCCACGGATGCCTAGAACACAACTTCTGCGCTGGCTCCAGCCGTCTCTGGCTTTCAAGACTGCGAAACCCTTTCAGTCCCTGTTCATCTGTTACGTTTGTAGGTTTTCGTATCCAGCATAATAGGACTTGAACTTCTGTTCCGACATTCCAATTTCAAAATGAGGAATAAAAATAAATGCCTGATCCATTTGGATATACAGATGGCTATAAGCTCAAAGAACTCTAAAATGCTACGTTTACAGACAAGACAAATTTAGTTACATATGTAAAAAGGTTTAAAAATGTAGTTTACAACTTCAAGTCTCAAGATGGCTTTCACATTTCATGCATAATAAGACAAAGTCTCCCCTGGGCACACAGATTTAAGGAAGTATTCTTAAATCATAAAAGAAAACCTGTTACACCTTCAGCAGGTGTGTATTTAAAACAGGAAATACCTGCGTGTACTTAAAACAGGAAATTAAAAGTTTGCCATTAATGGTAAAGAAAACTTGATGTATTTCATCTAACTATTGTATACCCATATAACTTTTTTTACCTTTAGGGCACAAATGAGCTTTCCTGATCAAGGAAAGTAAAAAAGTCTTGTTATTTTCTATGTAGCTTAATTTTTCAGACATAAATTAAGATTCCCAGAAGAAACTGGAGGGACGCTCAAAAATACATTCTCATTTCCCAAGTACCTTAAAAAGCTCTTCTTCCTTCCCATTACCTTCTTTTGGGAGAATAAAGCGAATGGAGAGGACTGCCCAGAACTACGTTTACAGGCACTAGGAAGGCGGGACCTGTTTCACATCAGAAAGGCACAAAACCCGTTCTCATCACCAGTTCTGCAGGAACATCTATGCTGATAGCGGTACAAAATTAAAAAACCCAGCACCCCCCTCCTGCTGGCACCCCCCCAAGCTACAGAAGAATGTGCTGCAAAAAGTTGTATTGTCCTTAAAATGAATCCCAGCGGAAAGATGGATGTTCTGCGTTTTCCAGTGCTCCTCAAGGGTTTAATTTTACATAATAGAATCCTGAAAAGAAAAAATAATTGCCAACTCTTCTTACATTTGAAGTTCATTTCTAGGTGTGGGTTTATGTGCAACATCTTATACAGTTCAAGCAATCACCTTTGGTCACCTGGTTACTTGGCACGCTTAGGTTTTAGGTTTTTTCTCTCCTCCTTGCCAAAGGCAAGGCTTTGTATCCCTCCTGACAGACTTCTGTCTAATCTGTTCTTAACTGGAGTCTCACAAGTTTCTTGGAAAATCTGTTTCAGTGCTTCACCATGCTTGATATCCTGCATGCTAAAACAGCTTTCCAGCCTTGTGCTGCAGGTGGTATTTGGCTGAGCATCATTCTTTGTACTTTACTCCGGATTTTTCCTACGGTTCCTATCTTTCTTGGAATAAAACGCTCCAAGTGGATGCACTACTCCAATGGAAGCCTCATCTATCATAAATAAGAAGCAGAAAGCTCATTTTATCATGAGTTTTGCAGGTAAAGCTTCCCACATCCCAACATCCTATTTGCCTCGTACATGACATTACTGTGACTCTGTCCCGTGACATTACTGGCTCCCATTTTCTCCTGAAGTTTACAATAACCCTTGACTCCCACCCCCATTCCAAAATCTCCCTTAGCACTGTCCCTCTGAGAACTTCAAACTGAAAGCCTCCCCTCCAGACACACTAACCAAAATCCAGGCTTTTTACTGGCACTGCATTTGGTAAACAGCAAGGGAAACCTGGAGTGAACCAGGAACAAAACGCTGATGCATATTTTATCCACTTACACTTTTTTTGTTTTTGAAAGGTAGTATCTTGCAGCACTTCCATTAAAAAGAGAGCACGCCTGGTTTGGGTGAATAAAGTGGTAATACTGAAACGCCCAGCAAGCCAGCTGTGCCCAGCATGCCTGAGGTAAGAAACCTCTTACCTTTCGATGAGCTGAAAGAATCCTAAGAGGATTATGAAACACTGCCAGTTTTTCTTCTTCGTTTTTAAAGGCTAAGTAATTTTCCATTTAGGAAGTTTGTCCTTATGTTCTGTACACTCCTCTCTGGAAACAATCTCCCTAGTTACTCTGAGGGGTAAAGCCAGCAGAACAACAGGAACAGCTGCAGCCAGCAGACTGCTGCTCCACTCCATCAACCAAGCATGGCTACTGGGAACAAGTTGAGTGGTTTTGGTTTTTTAAATTTAATAATCTGCAATATTTATTCCATTTGTGAAATAACCAAGCTTCTTAAACCAAGAGAAAAGCTCTGGGAACTTGTACCAAGGGTTTATGGAATCTGGAAGGAGGAAGGAAATGAGTAAGGCCTTTGAGTGTAAGCCTGTGGCACAGTCACTACTGACAGGAGAAATACAAGACTGGGCACCCATTAAGGAAAGAAAAAAAGAACAACATAATAGCTCTGAAATAGTGAAAAGGGGGAGAAGACAACTTGCTTGCTGAAGAGTTACCTCAAACAAGGTTAATTTTTCTGCAGTCTTCTCAAAGCTTTAAAAGAGACTCGGTGCACCTCCAACACCCCACACAAAACCCAGCAGTTTTAGATGCCCAAGATGACGATTTCCAGGAGCTGGCTGTTGCTTATGAATCTATTAAGACTGTATCCTCTTATAATAATGATTTTTGCATCTCAGCTAAAACTGACGCGTGAAACCTACACACAGCCACATGTTTACTTGGTAATCACTGCTCAAAGGATTTATACATAACAGCTTTCAAATAATTCAGCTTTCAGGTTTCAATGAACAGTATTAAATACATTTTATATTTAAAATTTTGAGACAGAATGCTAGCCTGGAACATAAATATAGGCTACAGTAAGTGAAACCAAATAACAAGCCATATCAGATCAGCACAAACCATATTCACATAGAATCATATCCCTCTTTTAATACTACCAACAAAGAGTAGCTGTTTTGCACACAAACTGGCATAACAGGTATTTACAAATCGAAACACGACGAAAATTCAGAGCTGCAAAGAATTTCAGCATCAAGCATATACTGCGAGAAAGAATTTCATTGCACTCATTAAAAAAAATCATTTAAAGACATTACTTTGCAAACAGATAAAACCTCCTGCCAATATGCAGAACAGTATCTCAACTGTGCTCATTAGAATGGAAAATCATTATCATTGGATGGGTGAGTGGGGAAGAGACTTTAACTATACAAACACGAAGTATTTGTATTCACCACACATAAATGAGTATTTTTATCAGTTTATTAACTCTCAAAAAACCCTTCTAAGTCCCATAGACCCAGATTCTGCCCAACTCCCACGGAACTCATTTAAAAAAAACACAGATACACACTGGAGTTTGAGATGTACATTCAAACACAGGAACAGGAGCAGCATAATTCAGTTAAGAGCATTGCAAGTCAATGGAGTGGCATTTCAGAACAGAGCTTGTTACTAAAAGATGTGACAGAGAAACTGTAGAACTAAATACATTTTCTAGAACAGAGCTATTAGAACAGTTCATTTGCATTTGTCCCACCTACCTTTGAATAATTGGTAAAATCTGTTAAATATTAAATTATCAAGGTTGGGGGATGCTGCTTGGGGTTTTTGTTTGCTTTCTAATGAAGCTACCATTTTATTCAAACCACTGCTCAACCTACACATGCAGAAAACTTAAACGTGGCAATGTGGGCATTTCTCAGTTTAATCAGGTAAAGGAGCATATACTGAAGAATGAACAACTTACTGAAACAGTATTAAAACTTCCTAAGTCCTATGAATGGTTAGGAAGCTACTCAAAAAGTCTTAGATCTATCACAGTGCTGAAAACCTTCAAACACAAAAGGATGGAGGTAGCCATAGGAGTTTCCTCTTCTCCAGAGTATCAGAGGCTCTGACAACCACTTCAACAACGCTCAAGCGATCTTCATTCACCAGTATGTAAGCGGCACAATACTGGTGCTCCCTGTGCGACCTGGTTTTAACCAGCAGAAGCCAAGTTCCAGTGCTCCTATTTTGTATACATCTTGGTGAAGGAAGGTATTAATGTTTAGGCTTTGCATTTCGTTTTGACCCATTAAGGTTTGTTTGGGTTTGTTTGTTTGTTTTTTTTGTTTTTTTTTTTTTTTTAAATCAGGCAGAACAAAGACACGCAAGTTCCCTGTGCCGGTCCTAACTTTCAAAGATTAAAGGAAGAACAGGAGAGGAGGTTTGACTTGTGTTCCTGCATCCCTCTCAATGGCTTTGACTAAAATAAATAAATAAATAAATTGAAGCTCATTATTTCTTTAGGTCTTTGTCGCCTTTTGGTATTTTATGTTTTTTAGCTTGATCAGCCACTGAAAAGGCCAGAAACTTTCATCTTAAAGCTATTAACTGCTTCATTCTTAAAGCAGCAGTTTTGGGATGAGATTGAACTTTGCGAGCCTGATTCACGTCACAATGTTTGGCAATGCTGAAAGACAACAGAAGACCTGTTCCAGGGCAGGAAACCAAGATGTGGTCTCCTGAATCCCAGTCCATTGCTACAGACGCAAGATCATCCATCCTTCTCCACAGAAACCATTAATTAGGGAAGATATTAAAGGTATATGAAGATAACATGAAAATGTTAAAAAAATATATTTAAAAATCTGTTAAATTGGTTTTAATTCAGAAGACGTTAAATAAGCATGACTTCTGCTAGGGACTGCCCTTCCTCAAAGTTTCTATGGGAAAATGCTAGATAAGCGTTGTTCTTGAGAAACATGATGTTTAGGGGCTTCAGTATGGGAAGATTAGCCTTGAAGATACATGTTAAATGTCACAGGCCTCCATCCTATGAGTAAAGCAACTAGACAGTGCATAAAGGAGCACCAAAGATGGAAGAAAAAAAACCCCAAACCCTGACCTTAAAAGCTTTGGATAAACTCTTCCCAGGAGAGTATTAATGACCCTGGGATGCAGTTCCAGGTTGGAGCACCTTTGCTGCTCAAAATAAAGAATTTTTGCCTTCCCATAGCCTCACTACTTAAACCTAGTCCTGAGTGAAATAATCCTATCTGGGAAAGCAGGTTTATGTGCTCTAGTTCAAATCAGGGAAGTGACCCTGTTAAAAACACCCTTCAAAATTTGTTTTGCAAAAGTCCCAAACCACCCAAAATTAAAAAAAAAATCCCAACACCCAAACCACCCAGCCAACTTTATGCTCATTCACTAACCTGCTTTAGAGTACGAGCTCTCAGGAAACTGCACTTGCACAGCTTAAAGAGTCATTAATCCCCAGTATAACTGTAGGGTGGCATGAGTAGTGACACGCAGGTAAAGTGCACTGGCTTTACTGATAGAAAAGTTACACCACGCACCACGGCACGCGCGTGTTCAACAATTCTACTGCGTGAAAGAACAGCAAGTGCACCAAGATTGTAAGAAAAAATATGCAGTTCTGCCACTGAAAAATTCAACAGCTTATTACTATTATGATCTCCTCTTAGTAACGTACATTGTCCTGTGCCACGCAGCCTGCGTGACTTCTCACTGTAAAAAGAAGGTGAATACACTGGATGCGTCAGCTGCAAGACCTCAGATCAAGCTTTCACCTCCAGAGCTCCTCTTTCAAACTCTGCTGGTGTCTGCATGGCTAACAGCAGTCTGGATAAAGTTGTTGAATTTACAAGCATTTGAAGCTTGTATGGATTAGATACTGATCGTATCTCCTGGGGGATTACAGCCCTATTCTTCTGGGGCAAACATGGAAGAAAATAACAAAGACGAAGTCCATGCATGTTAGATACCATGTCTATCACACAACTGGGGAATACAATCTTCAAGTCATATGAAATATATCACTCAGAAAAACAAAGGAGCAGTGAGTTCAGTTGTTACAGTTTGAATGCTTATAGGTCTATTACACAGATTTTGGCTATTAAAATGCTTTTAATAAAATTAAGTAATAAAAAGTCAGCAACTGACCAGCAACTAAAAGGCAAATGGTTTACAGAGGTGCAAAACATAAATGTTACTGACGCTGTCTCACAGTTACCACCGATACAGTCAGACTCTTCTCTCTTTCCTATTGCTGACCTGTTGCCTTCTATACTCCCAGACTCGCATCCATTGTTTTAGCTCTGTCACAACAAGTTTTCATTTGGAAGTAGAAGTCAAGAATCAGAATGAAAATAAGCACTTGGGTTTTTTCTGATTACATCTCAGGAGGCAATAGGCAGTATTTGTTAATGGAAAAGAACTAAATAGATTAAAAAATACTCCTACGAAAACACTGAAAACATCAACAACAATGAAAGTTCACTCTAACCCTAGTGTAAAAATTTTTGGAGAAGTACTCTGTGCATATAGTATCCACATAGTGCTTTGCAAAACTACCACCCAATCATTTAATTTCCATCTTTTCAACTCAAAATACTATTACTGCAATCCTTTAAGAATATGTCAAATTACAAGTGTAAAGTGAAAAGCAATGTGAGCTGCTGCCTCCTATCCAGGACACTGGTATATTTGATTTTGCACATTTAAATTCATATGGAATCTTACCATTGATCTTTCAGAATATCCAAACAAATGGCCCCAGTGACTGAGCTAATATTAGGATGCCATATTTTGGTGATAAAACGCACCTAGAAGACAATTTTTAAAAACAAAAATGGTTATTAAATGCAGTATATTAAGTAAACATTTTAAATGCACTATTATAAAGAAATACTAATTTAGGAAGTTTCAAGCTAAAAATACCAAAACTAAGACATGCGATGCCACTTATTTCAGGAGGCTTCAAGTTTGCAAGGCCATTGGTTAGATGGAGCCCTGCTTCACTCAAAACCAGACTACTACCTGTTTGAGGACACCAAACTCATCCCTAACTGCTTCCTCATACGCTGTCATGTGTGCACAGCCCTGCGTCACACAAAGCCCTTTAGAAATATCGTCCAGTACCAGTGTTTCAACATAAGCAGGTGGTCAAATACAGACTTAAAATTTCCAACACTGTAAATGCTGGAAAGTCCACCTGTAATAGTGAAACAAGTCCCTGAACCAATCGCATAGGCACTGGATCTCACTGTTCAGTTAAATCGTGGGTAGTTACATGAGCATTATAAAAATTTACTTGGTGGATGCTACTACTTCTACAACCATCCAGTCTCATTACCCATGTGCAGAAAGGCCTTGGGCAAATCAAAACCTAACTAGATTACAACTGGTTTTCTTTGTCGTTGAAAGGATCTAGTCCCAGCACCCATCGATCGTGTCCTTGTTTTTACACCAAACATAGTGTATTCATGCTCACACAAAGTAAAATAAATTTGGGGTTTTTTGAGACACTGAGAAAGTTAAAAGCAGTGTGTTCTTTTAAAAGCCTCCAATCTCAAAGCTGTCCTCTGAAAGGAATACATTCATGCCTTCAGAAATTTCTCCTTCACTTTCTTCAAACCTATTATTTCAGGTTGCAATGCCCTGTGACTAGTGACTTTGACCTGTCTGTTTCTCATCTCCACCTCCTCACCCCAAATTCTTGACAAGTGCTTTACGTATAGCACAGATGTTAAAACCTTTGCCCCGACCTGCAAGCAAATCCATGCAGAAAACACACTATTTGTCAGGCACTACAGCAAGAGACTGTAGATACAGGGCTATAATAAAATGAGTGCAATCATGGTGTATAAATAGGCAAGACCATAACACATCTGCTTTTCAGGACAAAAAATGAGAGATCTTGTCAACTGAGCCACTTATGAACCAACTCAACTCTCTAAACCACTTTGAAAATGTAAAGAGCCATGTAAATACTAGTTAATTTCTCACAGTGAATGACGGCTAACAATGGCTGTCAAAGCACACACTGAGCAAGATAAAGGAATCTTTCAGATGAAAGGCAGGGCTAGACACAAGCCAAAATGCCTCCAATTCGAGACTACAGACTCCAGAATAAGCAGTACTATGTATGCTACAGTGCACTGAGCTTCCTACAGCTGTCTGTAAGCTTTGGAAATAGGAATCACCAAGCCCTAAAGCAGCAATTAAATCATGGTCCACAGACCCATCTTTCAATGTCTATGACCTGTTTCAGCTCTCCTTAGTTTTGCTCCTGACAGGCCACATGCAGATGAAAGAACTGAAACCAACAGACATTTCATTAAGACTTTCCACGTCTTTCATTCCAGCCTCAGGGAAGTCATTCAAAGGACAAAAGCCAAGCTACTGGCACCTCTGCCTTCCTCTTCTTCCCCAGTTCCTTCCCAGTATTACATACCAGGGTGAAAATACTCAGGATCTAGGACACATTCTTAGTTCAAAGACATCTTTCAGTCAGACAGAAAGCCAATCAAGAAGCTGAGTCAGACAACTCAGGAGTCTGCTGAGAAGTCATCAGAAGCCACTGAAGAAGGGCCCAGGAATATACAGTTGCAGCTGCACATGGCTGGGGAGAACACTGCTCGGATGGATCCGTTTAGGAGGGAGGTGGAATGACGAATTTAAAGTGTTAGAAAGATACAGTGAAGTTAAAAGGGCATTAAGTAGCAAGAAATGTGTGAGTGACTTTACCACAGCCACTTCTCTTGTTGTTCATCCACATGCACGTTTATGCATTCCTTCAATACGGCTGCACTAAGACCTTCATATTTCTCCATTTCTTCAAGTCACACAACTGTACCCCTCACTAGTTATTACTAGAAACTTGGTAGGTTAAGCCCAAGATTTTACTAAATATAAGTTATGGAGCCCAAGAAATTAAAAGAATAATTATCTATTACAGCATTTCTTCAGTGATATCGAGGGGAGGGAAGATATCCATACTCTCTAGATCAAGTAAAACTATCTGAAAACTGTGCTTATCTTGCCAAAAATAAATTACCTGAGAGTCAATAATAAGGCATAATCTTCTCTCCAGAATTTGCCAGTTTGTAATTTAAGGAATAGTCAAGAGTGTACTTCTGACTGGACACAGCTATGCATACTGCATTATTGCTACCTAAAGATGACAGCTCCAGTGCCTGTCTAGAGAAGCAT